ACAGTGCGCGTATCTTTTATGCCATAAAAAGGGCCAAATTTTCTCATCCTGACTGGTTAAAGGTGACGCTTATTATTTGTGATCTTCCGTTATAAACCTGATAAATCTATAATCTTATTCATATCCTTATCATATGCCTATCTGAGAAACGACCATGAATTCTTACAAAGCTCCTCCTCTACTTCATCCCTTAAAGTACTAATAAAACTGCCTGGTAGACAAAGTTGTTTTCCCCGTCCAAACCAAGCACTTTTTCATCCTACTCTAACCCAGAATCTGATTTCTGAAAGTAGACGACTCATGTTAATCCTGGCTTCTTAGGCGAACGTTCTTCACTTTTAAATCGGCTTAAGTTTGGATAAATAGTCGCAAAAATTGGTGGGATCCGATGATGTACATTTACAAGACCAAATTGTGACCGTGCCTTTGTTTCTTCACTCTGCACTAAAAAGTTGATATTAAAAAGCGACGCCGGTAATCGTGGTTCACCTGTAATAATTGCAGACCTATGTTTCTTGCTCAACTGTAGGTAAAATGTGCCAAGAACAATTATAGTTCTTTACAGTCCTTACTGTTTAATTTAAGTATCAAAACTAAGTGATTTGTTCAGTCCGAATATTAGTTGCTGTATAATCAGACAGGTCAAATTGGACACTTGAAAAATAGCCAATGAAATTTAGCCAGCAAATGTTACTCATGCAAATGAAACTTTACCAACTAGCCCATGCTGACCACTGAATTACAATCAAGGAAATGAATTTGAATGCTAGGCTTGAACTTGAAAGCATAAGAGACAAAATTAGCTGACCTTATGACTTTTAATCAGATGAACTGGCATATTTAATTTCTACTTAATTATACTATATTTAAAGGTTTAAATACCTTTTAAAATGAAAAAGGTTTAAAGCGATGCTATTACTTTACTTGACATGTTGAGCGGTAAGCAGATGTGATAAGAAATATGAACTCACATTGAATATCCTCAACTGAGTTTCCCGCACTTTGTTACCGGCTCAATTAATTGATTACATGACCTCGTATTGTACAATTCTGGAGAAACTGGGCTCGTATCTTCAAAGTAAAAACTGCCCAGAACTACTCGCCGAGATTACATCACCCCATGAATTCTACTCCTATAAGTCTACAGCATTATTTATCGGCCTTTGCCTGTTTTGTCTCCTGATAACACGACAAAATCCTCCGTCCCTTTATTGTTGTGTATCACACGTTAGAAATAACGATGTTTTAGACTAGCTTGTTACACGTCCAACTTCACATCATCGGAAGCTGCAGTTAGAGGAATACTTTTTTCCAAGTCAGAGGCCTGATCAGACGCATCTCTTTCTTCGCTTGTTGGTACTTCTGGCTCTGGAAGAATCTGCACTCCCTGGGTTCTCATGTAACCCTTGATTACGTCCTGTCAGAGGCAAACAGAGATGTCATTCTTACTTAAATCACTCAACCAGAATACAACGGTATAAAATAGTAAATTTTCTTATTACTAGGTCTTTGATAAAACTGCGTCTAGCCATAACTTACAGGGTTTGTGTTCCATTTGTATTCTTATTTTGTTTTATTGAAATTTCACTCGATAGTTCTTATCCCCTGTCCTCCCCCGCTCCTGAGTAATTATATACGAGGCACGTTTCTCACTCTCGTCTGAACCCGTAGTCTATTCTAATAAAGGTCCCGAGTTGGCTTTTTATTGGGCTGCCTGTGGCTCAATCAAAGCATGGGTAGTGTCTGTGTCGAAAAAAGACAAAATGGCCGACAGATCTCTTAGAAGGCGTTACGTGTCCTATTACTCCTCCAGTGGGCCGACCGTGACAGGAGGGGGTCCCTGCCTTTTGACCAAGAATTTTCCATTCATTGAAAGCCGAAACAAGTGTTTTTAATAGTTTATACTTGGTTTAGGAGGAGCTAAAACTCAGCATAGAAAAATATTAGACCATTTCAGCCTAACAAACGCATAGTACTAAAACATGAACATTGTGGTCTAGAAAAGATACGATCGTCTGTCTTTCTTTTTCAGCATCTAACCTGCAAAAAGTTAGGAGCAGGATTTTCCAGGCTGTGCGCAGCTTTAAGCGACAAGTTGGCTGATGGTCTTATATAATGCTGCAGAATGAAGAGATAGAAGAAGACCGTCATGACCGGAAGCGGAAGTACCAAACACGAAGCAGCGAAAGATCCCTTCAAGGCGACCACTCCAACCATCAACAACTGAAACACCGCTGTTCCTATGATCATCCTATAAAGCGGAAAACGGTTTAGGTTTTTAGATATAATTTGTATTTTGGACTGCAGAACAGGGGTATTAGGGAGCAAAATGAAAAACAAAGCAAGATGCAGGTCACAGAAGAAAACCCTGCACATGATTCAAACTTTAATTTGCTACGTTTTTGGGGGGGCCACTACATATACATGAATAGGGCGTAAAACTTGCTAACTTAAAGTTTTATAAAAAAGCAGAACAAAGGACAGCCATTTTCGTTTTATTTTTCTGATCTTCGACGGAGTCCTCTTTAGAATAGGTTTTTTAATCAATTGTACATTTAATAGTAAGATGCACAGGTGATTAACGTGTTAGTTTGCGGCTTCATGACTTGACACTGTGTTACTGGATGATCGATTAGTTATAGTTCTTTTCGTCCCACCAAGGCCATCCAATATTAACCTGAATCTGTAGGTTGCGCGAATTTCCAAAATTATCTGTAGGCTCTTAGCCACTGAGAAGGCACATACTGAGTACAATGTATAATATAATAAGGAATGAATTTTCAGCCAATTATAATTTAATACAAAATGTTATACTATGTACTGTAAGTTTTACCTGTTAAACGTTATGGGCCACATCATTCCACCACAGCTGTATATTGGGATGTATATACTTATCGTCTGATACATCCACACAACGTAACCAAAGCCAAAGTACAGCGCCACAAACGGAGTGATGATGGGTGCAAGCGCCGAGTACGATAAACCCACAATCAAAATGAACAGGTGATTGGCGAACTAAGATAAGATTACAACGGAAGTTATCTTACTGACAATAGGGACTTTAAGATCCGAGACGCGACGGCTGTAAGACGCGACAGGAAGTAAATTTTCAAAGAGGAGACATGTTGCGCATGCTCAAGCCGTTGTCCTGGTGTCACCACGTCGCGTCGAGAACGTGGGTTTTGCCTGTTTGACGTTCTGTACAAAACGTGAGTATATTTGTTCCTGTGCTTAAATTAAATGATGATATATTCCTCTATACATGTAAAATCAGCCTTCTAGGATCATTGGATGTAATTTCTGGTGACATTTTAGATCGCAGAGATGGAAGGATTTTGATTATTTTTAAATTTCTTTCAGGTGTACGAAGCTTATAAAATGGCAGCGCCTTCGACTTCGACTTCGAGCGAGGCTTGCAAGTAAGTCACTAGCTAAAACTGCAAATAGTGAATGCAGGAGTCTTCTGCATACTCTTCTCGTCTCTTGTACCGTTGCAATTCTCGATTTATTGCGTTTATCTGCCGCTAAAAGCCAATTTTAAGCCTGTATTATTTAATTTAATTTTATTAAACTGCGTGTGTTTTTATGCTTCCCTTTAGTTCAGTAATGTTTTGGACTCATGATCATGAAGCCATTCTATGCAGAGAAGTCGTCAATGTAAATCCCTACACAACTAAGAAAGGGTCAACACAAAGAAGCAGAATGTAGGAAAAAATAGCAGACACCTTGAACAAATTCACTGTGCCGAAATTCAGGGTTGATAAGCGATCAGTCCGAGACCACGTGGGAATCCTTGTTTACAAGCATAAGAACAAACTTCTAGCGGAGGAAAAAGCAACTGGGATAACTCCCGATGAGCCAACGGAACTAGAAAACCTATTGGATATGATCATCGCGTTGGGGGAAAGTGGTGAAGCGGAATTACAGGAAACACAGGGAACAGCTAGCAAAAAACGTCAATACGATCGGGCTAAAGCGGAAGATGTTAGACTAAAAGTGATGGAGAAGCTGTCAGAGACGAAGAAAAGAGGTTCATCAGCGGATGAAAACGATGACAAACCGAAGCGTCAACGAAGTAGTGGAGGTGACGCTATCGAACAAAGCACAAACAAAGCATTTCTTGGACTTTCTTAAATGATGCCATGGCTATTTCTGCGAAAGAATTGCCGAAGAATCACACTGATAAAGAGCTGTTTGCAGCCACGTCGTCTTGCATCGCGACGGAGATCTTAACTTTACTTTTCGCGCGCAAACGACGGCGTTCTACAGGTCCAGTCCTTTATCAGCCACCGCGTTCTAGAAGTCGTCGCGTCCCAGATCTTAAAGTCCCTAATGTATGCACGGCCTCATACAACCCCTGCTCCAACCTCGTTTTCAGGGTCCTCCCCTTCTCGTCTCTTTCGCTCCGAGGAACGAGTAGGAGAAAACCCTAGGTCGAGGAGGACGTTTCCCTGCTAAGCCCCTGCTCGACCCCCTGCCTGCTCTGCAACCAAATCAAACCTAGTTCCCAGTCTTCCTCGTCGAGATTGGATTCGACGTTACACGTCGTTGGGAATCCCCCATTACCAACCTCCACCCCCACCCACCCCTCCTTCTCAGTTAACTGAGAAGTAGGGATGGGTAGGGGTGGGGGTTGCATGGGAATGGGGAATATAAATTTCTATAGCATTTATTGTAAGGATATATAACAAGGCTTAAACAGTATTACAGGACTGTTTAATTACCATCCGTTGCTTAAAATTTAATCAAGTTTCCCCAAAATTAAAAGTTGCCCCAAAAGGCAAAAGTTGCCCAAACGTTGTCGCTAGTCTAGTTACCTAGCAACTTTAGGAAGTTATTTCCCAGGTCACTGTTACTTACTACGCGGTCATAAAGGACAGGTGGTGGTCTCCAGGCTGCTTTCTCCTCGCGCTCCGTCTTGACAAGCCATTTCCTCTTAATAGCCACTATAATAAGCGGTGCAATGCGCAGTAGCTGTAGCGCATATCCAGTCAGTGTTGCTAACATGATGTAGCAAATGAAAAACAGTGACTGTGAGGGGAGGGATTCAGCAAGGAAAAAACACTAAAATGTTGAAAAAGGACCCAGGGAAGAAAAAAAAGGGCTTAGGAAGCAATGGGACGAATTTGAAGGTCGGAATAAAGAAAACGAATGTTGCTCAGAATTAGTATTCTACGGCATAGTGTGAAAGTCTTAAATAGTAAATTATAATGTATAGCGCTATAGAAACGAATTTTGTAGTAGCTGCCGTGGTTAAGGTTTATACTTAGCATTGACCACTCACTGACAACAACTAATTGAATAAATGTAAATAAATGTTATTTACCATGAAAATGAACAATTTTCCCAGCGTGGATTGGTCTACTCTACTTTCCGTAGGAATTCCTTCAAGCTTGCTAAAAAGCCTCAGAACCTATCACAGGATGAAAATGTTATTTTTTTAGTAGTAATACGTGAAAAAAAAATGACTTTCCTTTTGTCACCACAGGCTAACCTGCGAACAGGCGATCCGCGTCTTCCTTTTTGTTTGGGAGACGAAAAAAAAAAGGCGCCGTCTCGCAGGTTAACCACAGGCAGACCAGACGTACTGTATGTCAAATACCGGTAATAATAAAGCATCAGGCTTTATGGATCCGCGAAAGAGAGTCGGAATTGGACTCCGGAGTCGACTAGTTCCAAATAAATTAATATTATTTTACCATTATAACATTGTCTACGTATTTTTCCTGGTTAATTTTCAACTGAAACTTTGTTTTAGAGTAGAAACTATAATCCCTTGTCGAGTAAATTTGTTTTTACTGAGGGTGTGTACATAAGATACCCGGAGCGACTTTCATTCCGAAATGAGTTTTGTTCCAGAGTGAAGTTTGTACCGCATTCACATGATAAAATCGAACGACTCCGTCAAAGGCGTTCCTGCTCGCAGTTTTTGCGCCAGATCAGAAACACAATCAATCCGGAAGGAAGTTCGATCTCGGTTTACATGATACCAGAATGAAATCTTGTACCAGAACGACGGTTTCATTCAGATTGAAGTCCAGAATGACTTGTATGGGGAACGAAATGTGGTTTCGGTATCATGTAAACACAAACAGAGAAATATATGGAGATAAAATGAACTCGTTCCAGACTGTATGTCATTCTGGTTTGTGAATAGCCCGCCTGAACGAGCTGCGGAACAAAGGAATGAGTTGTGCGGGATTTTGAGCTATGTGAAAAAAGCAGTCAAATTATATAGTCTCCTACGAAACCATTCTTTGAGTCGTCACGTAACGACACACACAAAAAAAGGCTGCGTCGGTGCCTTTATCAAAGTACTGACGAAAAATTGACGCTATCAGATGAAGTAAAAACTTACCAGAGGCAAAATAGCGAAGAAAACCAACAATGCCAAGCCGGATAAAAAGCCCTCGATTGCTCCCTTGACAAAAGCGTTAAGTTCTAAAACTGCCGGTGAAATTGGAAAATGCAAAGCCGGGGTGAGAGGACACCAAAAGTTAAAACGAAATTCAAGCCCGGGGAAAAACTCAAGAAAGCTCCGAGGTTCAACCCTTACCCTTTTATATACCTCTTTTGATAGGAAAGATATCACTTTTTTATAAACTTCTATCGACAAATGTTACCCCTTTCACATACCTTTTTCAGAACTTTGCTTCTCTTTTAACTGCTGTGAATGCATGGTCTTCTAAATATGCAAAAGTCACTAAACCAGGAAGTTTTCTTATCTTACTCATAGCTACAAAATGGCGTCTGTTATCCCCCTTAGGACATTTTACAGACCAAAATGACAGATTTTGCTACCCTTTCTTATACTTTTCCCACTGAAATCCTCATCCTTTTATTATACACCTAAAGCCTCAAAAAGGTATCCCTTTCGGGCGGGGCGAAACCTTCCCCTATACGCCATTATAGGGAGTAATCCTGGGATTCAAGCGTTGGTAAAACAGTAAAATCTCACCTGGTTTCGAAAAAGGAGCAACTTTTGTGAGGTTTTGTAAAGAGACCAGCGTTGAAGCAAACGCTACAGGCACCGTCCAAAAGAACACCAAGTGCACGCAAAAAAGATGTGTCTGCACTTTTCCTCGTAAAAGACCTCCTCCAGTTCAAGTCTCGTAGAACCACTAACAACCAGAAACCACTAACTCGTTAGTCTGCAAAGCAGGCGTATTTTGCAGTGCAAAAGATGAAATTATAAATCTTGTCCCATCCATCCACCCTACAGAGACTTGAGGCGAGTCAAAAAATGATTCCAAGGGAGAGGTTTCCGTTGACGGTCCCTGGTCCCTTAAGTTTTCAATTATTTTCAAGATGGCGGCCGCGATCAATGTACCTCTAAGTCAGGAGTTCTACTCTGAGGTTTCGTTAAAAAGAAGCCTGCTCTGTGTTCGCATTATGGTTGGTCGCTTATGAGAAGGTTCTACTTTACTTTCTTTCTTAACGTACCAGATAGGGGAATAGAACTTATGCTAGGTATAAATAAAAGCACCTTTGCCAAAGGCCAAGGCCAATAGGAAGGTTGTTCCACAGCACGCTGGCCAGTTCAGTAGCTGGTATAACATCGACTTCTAGGGGAGAGTTATCCCAATCACTTTGAAGCGCAAGAGTTGATGCACGAAGAGAACGGAAAACCACAAAACAGCACGGAAACAGGTTGTGTTTCTTCTCCGTCTCTTCGTCTAATTTTGTTTGTACTGCCTGTGAAGGGAAAACATATCACAGATTATTGATCTGACGAAAGTGGTAGAGCAGCCCTGGGCTTTGGAATCCCGAATTCAGTTCAAGGAATCGGGAATCCCGCTAACGATTAGAATCCAAAATCCAAGTACCATTAAAAAAAAAAAAAAATCCGGAATCAGTATGTCTCGGATTACCTTATATGGGACGACATCAATTATTATTATTTAAGTTAGAGATCATGCTGAAGGGTTTCTAAAACACTTTGAAGACCCTATCCCTCGGTAGTTAATGCTGAAGTATAAAGAAAACCAATCAAAGGAACGCGATTCCACTGACTTCCCGCGAAGACACCTTTCTCCAGCGTTTTCGCGATAATTTTGCCAAAATTACGGTACATTGCAGGCGCTTTTCTATAACGGAGTATTATCGCCAAAAAGCAGATCATTGAGCACAATTCAGCTGACAATTATCTATTACTTTGTTAAGATGAAGGAAATGTAATTTTGAAAGTTCTTACTTCAAGCTCTGTTCCATACTGGCTGATTGAGTCAAATTTTGTTCCACAACAGATAAACTTCTTGTGTGTTGGCTTTTCTCCTGTTTGTTCGTGTACAGCCTACAACAAGAAGTAACCAAGTGGATAAATCCTTCCTGGCAAATTCATCAACGGTAATAAGCGGTCAATCAGAAGCAAAAATGTCATTTTTGCGTCCTGGCTAGCCTGCATGCGACTAACGCAGATGTATCTCCGGTCGTCGCTTCTCTTCACCTCAAAAGTTACGGGCAAGTCTCGGATGCAGAGAAGCGACGACCGGAAATACGTCTACTTTCACAGGTTATCTTGTCAACCCAAAAAAAAAAAAAAAAAAAAAAAAAAAAAAAAATCGGTGATAAAAATGATACGAAGAATATTTTTTTCTGGATGTTTACTTAAGCAATAATCTTTAAGCTAAAATAAAAAAATAAAAAAATCAGGGATTCTCTATAATAATAAAATAGACTGAAAGCAAAAAAACAAAACAAAACAAACAAAGAAAAGAACAAATAAAACCTTACATCGGCGTGATCTAACTTCCACTGGAGAGCATCACGCTCATTTACCAATTCTTGCCACTTGGTTAGATCTTCAACGATGACCACATCTTCAACCTGTGCGTTTGATGAAGGAGAAGTTGATTAAGACGAATTATGTATAGATTTAACCAAGGCCACATGTGGCACGAGGGGTGACCACCCTCGAGGTAGAAATCATCCATTGTGCTGAACTTTGATGGACAATTCGGTTCGCGCGGCCAAGGTCAAAATACCTCAGTCGGTAAAAATAAAGTGTGCCAAATATTATAACCAAACATATTTGTCAAAAAGCATTATAGTTTGAGCCTGAATCGGAATAGTATTATTCTTGAGGTTGTATAAGCACGACTTCAGTAAATGAGCCTGAAAGCGTAGTGAAAAGAGGTTGAAAATGAGCGGTTTCGCATTGTGAAAATAGGTGATCCTAATATAAAAACGGAAATTAATATATAAATTATGCTTGTGATCTATTGTAATTAAATGCTTTTCATATAACTTCTTATCATTTGGTTTAAGGAAGCGGGACAAGCAAATCAACCGCGAAGAAAGTAGAAATTACAGGTCATTTCTTGCTTTTTTTTTTTCATTTCCAAAAAGTTCTCTTGAAAAAGGCTTAACGTACATTATTTAGAAACCTTGTAAAATACATTCCTTCCTTGATAAAATGTCACATTTGTTAGTCGGACATTTTTGTTCAATTTAGAATCGACAGGGATACCTTTACAGCTTCTCCTGTAGCTACATGCTTTGGGGCAAATATTTGAAAACTTAGAAGGCTGTCTTGGTTAAGTGTGTTTTCTGATTTATGAAGGATGCACTTTGCTATTGACTTCGATTGCAAGCAACTCTAATTTGAATATCCCTTACTGCCTATAAGGTAGAAATGCCAAAGATTTAGACTGTAAGTACCATCCGCGTGATACATTTTTTAATTCATAACCACACGATGGCTTAACTGCCTTAGCGATTTCCTTTTTGAGTGCTTTATCCTCTAGTTCATTCGCTTAGCTGTCGCACAAGCTTAAAACTAGTTTGCTTCTCACAAATGACCTGGTATTTACACTGACAGTACAAAATAACAGATGAATAGCTTTACTTGTTTATAATCACATTCAGCAGCCCTGAGTTAACGAGGGTAATCGAATGCACGACTCGCCAGGCTGGGAGAAGGCTTCATTGGAATTCAAGGGTTCACTATTTGAATTTGTAACGAACTGGTTGATTGAGTATGGATGAAGTATTGAGAGGTTTACTGTGCAGTGGTTGACGGATCCGCCCAAACCATCCGGGTGGTATCGCAAATATATAGAGAAAGAACAATGGAGGAGGTGTCAGCCAATCAGGAAAGACTAACGTCATCAAATCAGATCAGACTGATTGAATAGTTTCTTTTTGTTTTTGTGAGAATTGTTTATTCAGTAATTTGCAATTGAATGAGATGAAATGGGGGACTACGAAGTATCAAGGAATACAAAATAACCTTCTTGCTAGCTTGCCGCTTAATTGAAACAATTTAAGATGTTCTTGCTCTGGAAAAGGTACGTTCTGATAAAGACTCATTCCTCATACAGGGTAGCTACGATTAATGACAAAGAAAGTTCAACGATCATAACGATTAATTGCAAAACAACTTTTCAACGAATCATGTAGCAGTCGCTGAGGTAGACTTAATTCTTAACCAAAGTATAAAAAACTGGTTTACATATCAATAGCTGCGGTCGCCGACTATAGTTCAGATTACTAGACTTTTGTGAGCTGTTTGTTCGGTGATCAACGATCATAATAAAACCAGAGGTTTTCCTTTAGCAGCTTCGTAAGACAATCTGATTGTTCAGTTAAAGGCGTCGTTTATAAATTAAGTTTTATTTTTTTTTCAATCCTGCTTTAGAAAAGCAAATTGCGTTAATAAATGGATCGATAAAATGCCTGGAGAAAATTGTACAGTGTTCAAGACACAACTCAACTCCCTACAGTGCCTTTTGTTTCAACAAACAAGAACCATGCAAATCAGCAAACAACCTGTCGACTTAAAAGTCTCCGATCACACTTACCCTTCTTTTTTAAAATATGTATTCTCCCTTATTCAAAAAATATTGCTGTGGTCCAAACATAGCGGAATCACTTTCGTCCATCCATGCGTATCTTTTACCCCACAAAAAGGGCCAAATTTCCTCATCCGGACTGGTTAAAGGTGACGCTTATTATTTTTTTTCTAAAGTCGTGTTTGTTTCGAGGATCATTTGAAAGGAGATCCTGTATTATTTCTCTTCTACTTTTTTCAGTGGTCTTTTTAAATACAAGGTTCTCCGGTATAACACAGTGCGCATTTCCAACAATAGTCAAGTCAAGGCCTCGTCATCAGTTAGAAATAATGCATCAGTCAATTCCAGCTGCGCCCACACATCATATTTTTCCATAATTCTTTTTCAGAATTCTTCGTAAAATCCTCACAATCACAAAAGGGACTTTTTTCGATTTCTACTTTATGATTAGATTTTTTTCTAATGTTTTCTACGATGTAGGTTCTATTATAGGCTGTGGAGGAGTCTACTGATTTTATCTTGAGATCTTCCTTCTCTCGTTTTGCCGTTTGCAGCCTATTGACAAAGGTTTTGCTACGATTCGGTCGGTAACGACCACTTCGTGTTCCGGTAGACTTCGACGTTTGACCGACTAGTAGCTACTAGCATTGTGCCTATCATACGGATTGGGGCTTTACATGTGCATCTTGGTCTTGGACTTCCCCGTACCATCCATGAAAGCTTTATAAAACGCTTCAAGTTGGATATTCAAAACATTGTCTCCGAACTGCGACCCATAAAAGGCTGCTTTGATCCGAAGCGGTAATAAGTTTCTCCTGGTTTCCGTCCACGTTTCCGCTTGAGTGACATGGTTGTCTTCGGAAGAAAGTGAGAAGTTCTCTCAAAAGTTTGTTTAAAAAAGTGCGGGTTATTTGTAACCCGCGACATTTTACCCGCGAACAGCGAAAATTTACCCGCGACACGAGACCCGCGCCGTTTCGATTCTCACGCTATTTTTGGCCTCCCTCTCCTCCCTCTTTCTTCCTCGGCACCAACACCTCCCCGACGTTGCTGGGCAGCCAGGCCTTATTCCCACTGACACACTCAGTTCGCTCAGTTCCTCTTTCGTTTTGGGCACGGACAGACTGTCATTTTTGTCATCATTTGTAGTGACTTTCAAGAGGCGCTGTCTTTACTCGTTTATCGGAATTTGTGGTACATGGATGCACAGGTTTGCTTTTTGAAAGTTTTATTCAAAACCTGGATTGATCACTTCTTTCAGATCAGCACTGAGATCAGTTCGGATGGACGCTTGCATGAAAACACTGATCACTTTCCGGGCTAATAACCTTTTCGATGCTAGCAGAGGCGCTTCGATCTTGCGACTTATCTAGGAAGATTGAAGGAGACTCTGTTCGCAGGGTAATTGATCAAATCCTCGGCTCTTACCTTCTCTCTTGCGTGGCTTTTAGCGATTACGAAGTCGTTCACGTGACTTGTCTGTCGCCAAGTTGGTTTATTTACATTTCTCCTTGGGCGTAAACAAAGTAGGTACGCGATAGACAAGCTACGCGAACGATAAATAAAACAATAAAACCATAAAGGCATGTGGGAGAGAAACCTCTGTGCACAGGGTATCGGTGCTTAGCTCTTCCCAGCTCGTGCAGATAGAGAAAACAGTTTCATTCTGAAATTGTCAAAGAACATCTGTGTGAGAGGCTACAATCAAGGACGCTCAACTTGGGTCACACTGCTCTGATACCTGTCTTTCTCTCTCGCAATATTTTTTTTAAAATGGTTTTTTCGGTGGAATTGTCTCAAGTTTGAGGCCAATATTGAAAGGGACATGGAAAAGGAGGTTGAAGACCACATGCCAACGTTATTCGTTCAATTGACCCAAGTTCTAATGTCACAGATTGTAGCCTTAATGTGGTTATAAAACTTAAGTTATTTATTTTCATCTTTCATCATGTTCTGAAATGGTGTCATTTTTGTTTACTTTGTCAGAATAAAATGAAACTTGCTGAACTGGATTGGATTTTGGTTTTCCTAAAGCACTGAGAAGCCCTTGTAAGCTGCTGTTTATGGTACTGTCTGAGTGTATTATCATAATTATGTATAAATGACTGTTGCAAATTAATGAGAGGACATCATTGTATGTTGTGGTTCATTTTAGTTTTATCCTTAATTAATTTTTTTTTCTACTAGTTTTGAGTATGATAATGTTCGAATAAGTCATGAGTATGAAACAAAGCAAATTAGAAAATAATACCACCACAAGTACATAAGACTGTGCTCTAAAAAAACTGACAGAAGCCCAGTACTGTGAACTTGTGAAAACCAGGGTGCCCAACATATCATTTCTATGAAAAAAATAATATTTCTGCAGTCAACTAGCCTGCATTGCAGCTGGCCAACACATCATCTAGATCATTTATTGGCATATTCCGTTTGCGAATTAGTGCTCAAAAGCTCGTTCTGATATCCATCAGAGTCACAAGGATATACGTGATCATTTCTGTTAGGCGGTACGCATCTCATGATTGGTCCAATTCTTATGTGTGTGTGATGGTTGGGCCCAGGTTAGACATGTCAGAATTCACAGAAGGAGTTTAGCAAACAGTAAACAGTGGAAGAGAAGTTCAAACTGGAAAGCCTTCTTCCTGAACAGACAAAATAATACATGTGGTTTGAGAGAATTCCTTCAAGACCAGAATGTGTTTGTAAATTTGTGGACTGGTTAGACTTGCCATAAGTCAACTGGTGAGTGAGCACCGAAGCATGAGAAAACGCTCACAAACTAGTGAGGGATGAAGTCACGAGTCGACTTGTTCCATCTGCAGAAGATTGAATTCTTTTTGTAAAATGTTGGCACAAAAAAATATTGTTCATGACATTAGTTTGATAGGTTGTTTGACAGCACACTGAAATAAACAGTTCTCAATGACTGGATGGTGTAAAAATAGAGATGACCTGACCTCAAGAAAAGTTGTTTTCTAGGTCTGTATCTCTCCAAAATCAAAAGAAGCAACTCTCATGTAATGTTTGTAGAAAGTC